TTATGGAATAGTTTGAGGAATATTGGTATCAGGTCTTCTTTGAATATCTGGTAGAACTCTGCACTAAATCCATCTGACTCTGGGCTATTTTTGGTTGGGAGGTTTTTAATGACTTCCTCTATTTACTTATGGAATATTGGCCTGTCTAGGTAGTTTATTTGCTCATGATTTAACATTGGTATATGGTATCTGTCTAGAAAAGCATCCATTTCATCTAGATTTTCCAGTTGTTTTTTTTTGTTTGTTTTGTTTTTTAGGGTTTTTTGTCGTTTTTTTAGTATAGGCTTTTACAGTAGGATCTGATTATTTTTTTGAATTTCCTCCTTTTCTGTTGCTATGTCTCTCTTTCAGTTCTGACTTTATTAATTTGGGTATTGTCTCCTTGCCCTCTGGCTAGTCTGGCTAAGAGTTTATCTATCTTGTTGATTCAAAGAACCAGCTTTTTGTTTTGTTAACTTTGTATTGGTCTCTTTGCTTCTATTTGGTTAATTTCAGCCCTGAGTTTGACTATTTCCTGCTGTCTACTCCTTTTAGGTGAGTTTGCTTCCTTTTGTTCCAGAGCTCTCAGGTGTGCTGTTAAATTGCTAGTGTAAGATCTCTCCAGTTTCTTTACCATGGCACTTAGTACTATGAATTTTCCTAGAAGCACTGCTTTCATTTTGTCCCATAAGTTTTAGTATGATGTGTCAACATTTTCATTAAATTCCATAAAGTCTTTCATGTCTTTCTTTATTTCTTATCTGTCCAAGTTATCATTCAATAGACAGTTGATCAGAATCCAGGTGTATGTGGGATTTCTGTTGTTTTTGCTGTCATTTAAGACCAGCCTTAGGCCATGGTGATCTGATAGGATGCATGGAATTAATTCAATCTTCTTGTATCAGTTGAGGGCTGTTTTGTGATCAATTATATGGTCAATTTTGGAGAAGGTACCATGAGGTGCTGAGAAGAAGGTATATTCTTTTGTTTTAGGGTGAAATGTTTTGTAGATATCTATTAAATCCATTTGGTTCATAACCTCTATTAATTTCACTGTGTCTCTGCTTAGTTTCTGTTTCAATGACCTGTCCATTGGTAAGAATAGGGTGTTGAAATCACCCACTATTTTTGTGTGGGGTTCAATGTGTGCTTTGAGCTTTAGTAAAGTTTCTTTTATGAATGTGGGTGCCCTTGCATTTGGAGGATAGATGTTCAGAATTGAAATTTTCTCTTGGTTATACAAAGGTAGACCTATCAGAAATACATCAGACTTCTCAACAGAAACTATGAAGGCCAGAAGAACCTGGTCAGAGGTCATGAAAACTCTAAGAGAACACAAATGCCAGCCCAGGCTGCTATAACCAGAAAAACTCTCAATCAACATTGATAGAGAAAACAATGGATATAGTCAATAAGACAAATCAGCAACCTACAGATTAGGAAAAAACCTTCACTAACCCCACATCTGATAGAGGGTAAATATCCAAAATATATGAAGAACTCAAGAAGCTGACCACCAAGAAAAACAAACAATCCAATCAAAAAATGAGGTATAATTGAATTGGGAATTCACAGCAGAGGAATCTCAAATGGCTGAGAAACACCTAAAGAAATTTTCAAAGTCTGTAGTGAAGAAAGAAATGCAAATCAAAACGACCCTGTGATTCTACCTTACCCCAATCAGAATGGCTTAAATCAAAACCTCAGGGGTCAGCACTTGTTGGCAAGGTTGTGGAGAAAGAGGAACACTCCTCCATTGCTGATGGGATTGCAAACTGGTACAATCACTCTGGAAATCAATCTGGAGTTTTCTCAGAAAATTGGAATTAGATCTTCCTGAAGACCCAGCAATACTACTCTTGAGAATATACCCAAAATATGCCCCACTATGCCACAGGGCCTGTGAACGTGTTTCGCTGTGTTCATAGCGGCCTGTTTGTGATAGCCAGAAGCTGGAAACAACCCAGATGTCTCCCAATTGAAGAATGAATACAGAAAATATGGTTCATTTAACCAATGAAATATTATTCAGCTATTGAAAAAAGGACATCATGAATTTTGCAGCCAAATGGATGGAGCTAGGAAATATTATCCTGAGTGAGGTAACCAATGCTCCAGAGGACATACATGGTATGTACTCATTGATAATTCTATATTAGCCATAAAGTACAGACTATCCAAGATACAACTCACAGAGTATATGAAGCTTAACAAGAAGGAAAGCCCAAGTGGGGATGCTTCAGTCTCACTTAGAAATGGGAAGGAAATAATCACAGGAGGCAGAGGGAGGGAAGGTCCTGGGTGGGAGAATGATCAGAGAGGCAAAAGGTGGGGCAAGACCATGTATGGGAGGAGACAGGAATGAAGCCCAGAGGGCCAGTAGAATGAATAGAAATATGCAGCAGTATAGCATGGGGAATGGGGGGAGCCTCTAGAAAGTCCCAAACACCAGGGATGTGAGAAGCTCCAGGACCCATTGAGAATGACTTTAGCTAAAATATACAACAAATGGGAGATAGAACCTGAAAAGACCACCTCCAGTAGATACACATGGCCCCTAGTTTTGGGATGGAGCTACCTACCCATTTCAATATTTTTGATCCAGAATTGTCCCTGTCTAAAGGAAATGCAGCAACAAAATAGAGCAGAGATGGAAGGAAAGGCCCTTCAGAGACTGCCCCACCTGGGGATACATCCCATCTGCAGACACCAAACCCGGACACCATTGCTGATGCCATTTAGGTGCTTGCAGACAGGAGCCTGGCATTACTGTCCTTTGAGAGGCTCTACCAATACCTTACAGAGACAGATGCAGATACTTAGAGCCAACCATTGGACTGTGGTCAGGGACCCCTATGGAAGAGTTATGAGAAGAACTAAAGGAGCTGAAGAGGATTACAACCCCATAGGAAGAACAACAGTATCAACTACCCGGACCCCTCAGAGTTCCCTGGGACTAAGCCACCGACCAAAGAGCACACACAGTCTGGTTTATGGCCCTGCTACATATGTAGCAGAGACTGTCTTGTCTGGTCCTGTAGAGACTTGATACCCCAGAGAAGGGGGGTGTTCGAATGGTGAGATAGGTGTAGGTAGGTGAGTGAGCACCCTCTTAGTGTTGAAGGGGAAGCTGGAGTGGGAAGATCATGGACAGGAAACTGGAACATGGGATAACATTTGAAATGTAAATAAATAAAATAATTAAGAAAAAAGTATATCAATGGAGAGACTGTAATCTTGTATAGACACTGCTAACTCTTGCTTTAGTTTCTCCCTATTGTTATTATGTGATTGATGCTCTGATCATAAAAAAAAGTATATCACATTTTGAAAAATAAATTTATAAAAAAATATGAATTCAGATAATAGGAATGAACACAATAGAGGAGATTAGCAAGCAATTACCTTACCAAAATCTCCAAATGATTATTTCCCCACAATGACACTAACTCCAACAACATATTGCCACATCAACGAACGTTAGAGTACCAAGATGATCTGGTGTAAGTAGTTTGTCTAGTTTAAGAAATTGCACACTGAATAAAGCAGAAAGAAAGTAGGTGCTCAGAATGCCTTCTTCTAAGCTCTAGACTATAGGCATAAGTCTGTGCTCACAATAGTCCCATTCCTACCCCATTGAGCACAGTGCAGACATCATAACACCTCAGACCTAGCCCTTAGACCAGGACCCATGTACTGATCTCCTGGAACTCTTTAACGAGAAACCCAGTGTATTGTATCCACCACTCATCTCATAAGCCCCACAGACAGTGAGGAAGAAGACTCTGCTCAATTAACAGCAGGACATGAAAATGTCACAGGAAGATGCTTTAGAGCTCATGGCCAAGCCCAACACTATGAGACGTAACCAGGAAGAGGGAAATAACATACATTCCCAAGTACAGGTCTGTTTCACAAGTCATGATTGTTTTAATCTGCATCATTTTCAGATATTGCCTGGATCTGAAATATATCCATGAGACGTGCAGGCACATTATGGTAGGATGATCAACTCTGTGATTTCTATTTCAATTCCTTCTACATCTTTAAACAGACAGATAGTAGAAAGACTGCCCTAACCAGTGACTGAAGCAGCATGTCAGTACAGGATACTGACTTAAGTCTGTGTTGGCCTGATGAAAACTCACAGCTGAAGATTGCACAGCAACTTTTTTCAGTACTCATTTATATTCATTTCATCTTCGGAAAAAAGAAACAGAAAAGAAGCCCATTTATTACAACTACAAGATTTGCTTGGCATTACTTAATTGGATAAGAAATGGCTTAATTCAGACTCTCCTTGCATTTCATGAGATATAATGTTTTTCCAAACCATGTGTGTGTCAGACATGGAGCCTAAAAATAAGAGTTTACCTAGGTATATATTGCTTTGTTCAAATTCAGACATCCTCAGTTCCTACTGCAGAGTATCCTAACACCATATAGGGAATAGAAGGAGGAAATCCATGGCCCAGTATTCATGTGCACATAGGAAATGAAGATTTTTAGAAAATGGTGTGTTGGGGAGGGAGTTTAGAGGGAGAAGATGTAAAAATAGTGGTTGTGGCTGGTGTGTTACCCAACCTCCCAACCTCCCAGCCCCAGGATCTCAGGAGGGCTATGTGCAGTGTGTGCAGAGGTAAGGGGAAGAGAGCAGCTGGAGTGTTTTTTCATAGGGGAGATGCATGATCAGTGAGGAAGGTGCTTTCCTTTCTTCACTCCCACACCCAAGCATTTCCTAATGGCTATCTGTGTGTGTGTGCATGTGCTTGTGTGTGTGTAAAACTCCAAGTGTGAGACAGCACAGCCCATTTAGGTTATTTTTATGAAATAACACAACAGAGAATTGTATGCAGTTAATTTAATAAAATGGAAAGAAATAAATGTGAGATTTCAACAATTATCTTGCACTTTATAGATATAAATAAAGAATCAAGAAAGAAAAGTTATCATTTGCGGTATCAACTGCTTGACCATCGCCAGTTTTCTGGAGTTCTATGAGCCAAAGTTCTTGTGGAGGTTTATGATGACTGTTGACAGCTGCTGCTGTTAAATATTGCATCCTGGAGAGCCAAAGCAAGGAGATGTCTTAAATTTAGAGTTGTCCCTTAAAAGTCACTAGCTAAAAATTAATTTTTCTTGTTGTATTTTTGTTTATTTTTCTCTTAGTAGTTTTTAGACTGTATAATAATTAGTATGTGTATTTGTGTGTAGTGTGCATGTATATGCACATGTGTGGAAGTCAGGGAATAACTGTTAGAAGCTAGTTCTATCCTTTTGCCTTTACATTAGTGATTTTACAGTTTACAAAAGAAAACAAATTAAAAGTTACCATCATCACTTGAACATTGGCCAGAGTCTCCTGGGACTGGTCTAGAAAACATTGTTTGAAATGCTTAATGGCCTTTTTAACATACGGTCCATGTTGATCTGGACTAAGCAATTCCAGATAGTCCTTCTCAGACACAGATGGGTCAATTGCACTGTTGATAACATTATCTAGAATACTGCAGCCAGAACCTGGAAAGACATGGCATTCATCAATGGAAGTTTGAACTCATCAGCACTTGCCTATCATGACAATCATGTTCTTGAGTACAAGTGGAAACACAGACTGGAAATGGTGAAGGGGTACTGCCAAATCTGGGATAGAAGATGTAGGCTGTGAAATTCTACTTAGAAACAGCAGAGTCTGCCCCTAACATCCTTCCACAACTAAGTCACGCCTCACACAACCTTTGCTAACAAGGAAACTGAAGAGATGGCAGGCTGTTTTGCTGGGTGTGGTAAACACCCTTCGTTACTATCTTGAGAACATCATGGAATATGTTCAAACATCTTATAAATATCACATTTAAAATATTATCCACGTTCTTCTGTTAACTCTAGCATCTGTATCACAAAGCAACATAAACAGAGGCCCTAATACTTGACGTGACCTCATGCAGTCAGACTAGGAGTGGGGCAGGAAGGAGCTCAGGACATTTATTCACTTGAACTAGTTCTAGTCTTGAATCTTATTTAAAATTCACTGAGTCCTTCACATTTTTTCAACCTGTACCAAACAAAGTAGGCAATAAAAACAAGGTACACTCACAGTGCATGAGGGCCATTTATAATGATCATATTCTTCTTTCTTTTTTTTATTTTAGAGACAGGGTTTCTCTGTATAGCCTTGGCTGTCCTGGAACACACTCTGTAGACCAGGCTGGCCTTGAACTCAGAGATCTGCCTGCCTCTGCTCCTCAGTGCTAGGATTAAAGATGTGCACCACCATTGCCTAGAAGACCATATTTATTTTTAAATTTGTGTTTTTTATTACATCATCTCTCCCTTTCCCTTTCTTCTCTCCAACCCCTCCATAACCCATCTGTATCTATCATCTATCTATCTATCTATCTATCTATCTATCTATCTGCTATAGATCTATCAATCATCTATCTATCTACCTATCAATTTATCTATCCATTTAGCGTTACTTGTATGTATATGATTTCAGGGCTGATCACAGTATTAGATAACCAATTATGGAGCTCATCCATGGTAAAAGTTACTTCTCCAGCTCTTGGAATTACTTAGTTGCCTGTAGTTTCTTTTTTTCAAAAGACAGAGAAAATCAAAATTAGTTGAAATGCTGAGAATATCTGATCATAATGTGCCCAGTTCCGAAGGCTCAGAGAGCAACATAGTAGAGCAGCAGAAAGATTGTAAGAACCAGAGGACCAGGAAATTTGCTCTGAGATTGTTTCTCTTAAAATGACAGAGAAGCTTTACCTATGGCTTCAACTTTTGGCTGCCCAGACAAGAGCTTTTTTATTATATAGCCTTCAATATTTCACATATGAATTATGTTTTTCAATCATATCCATTCCTTTCTGATCTCTTTCAGTTTCTCTCAGATCTCCCTCACATCCTCCTCACAACTTCATGTCTCATCCTTATTTGCTTTTAAAAATAATATGCTGAGTACAGTTAGTGTTGCTCATTTTTCACTGATATAAAGCCATTCACTTCACCCTGGGAAACCTACCATGTGCCACAACCCTAAAGAAAATTGACCCTTCTTCCCTCAGCAGCCCATCACTTGCCAACAGCTTCTCCATTAGGGGTAGGCCTTCATGACCCCAGTCAGCTTGATCTTGTGAAAGTACTGGGCGAAGATACACTACCCCTCTCAGTTCATCAGTACAATAGCCCACCACATGTCTAGAAGACAGTATTTTGTAGCAGTTCTCCCTAACCTCTGACTCTTATAATCTTTCATTTCCCCCCGCCCCCCGCTTTCCACGGTGTTTCCTGAGTCTTGGAAAGGAGGATATGAGATAGATACCTCAGTTAGGGCTGAGCACTCAACAGTCACTTATTCTCTGTACTTTGATCAGGTTTTGGTGGGAGGGCTTTACATTATTCATTACTGGAGGAAATCCCCAGAACAAATGCAAGCTGCCCTCCCTATCAGCATGAATACAAAGAACATGTAGATAAAGAACCACTGAAAGAATTCAGAACAATCTCTCATATGTTTGTCACATAATGTCCAAGCTTTTTACCCTGGCATTACATGCTACAGTGGGGAAACAGCGCCACTGGAAAGTTTCCCATTTCATTCTGCAGTTAGAGAGAGTCATGAATACATCCTCCAGGAAACCCATATGCGTCCATTGTTATGGGAGCACATTTATATCATCACCCCTTTCTGTTGAAATATCTCATAATCAACCTGAGTCTTGCTATGGGTTTTAAAAAAGCAGTTTTCATAATGGGACATTTTATATGGTATTGACACATGACATGCAGCTCCAACACAGGAATCAAACCCACGATAGAGACACCCTTTTTATTATCTGAACTAATGTTGATCCATGTAGTTACTACATCAGACACTTTACACTAGTGCTCAGGTACAATGGTTTCTTCCTGGAAGACACAGTAGGAATGTGTGGTTTAATAGCACTCCTCCCTTCTACAGAACTTACCACTGGCATAGCAGTAAATGGGGATGGTGACCAACATGAACAGAACCACCAGCTTCATGTTGAAACAGTCCCTTTGGGTTGCTCTGTTGTCCAAGACAGAAATCAGGAAACTCTCTGGAGTTGAGACCTCACTGTTCCTCTATTTATTGCTCAGGCAACCACCTTAGTCTCATCCAATAAATAAGAACACAAGTCATATGTTTGATATGGCAATGCACCAGGATGAAGAAGAGCCAAAGAACACAGATTTCATTGAAGAAAGCAAGGAAACAGATTTTTGAGACTCTGGGGACCACTAATGATGAATGGCAACAGCAAAGTGTTGGTAAGTGCTACTAATGTCCAATGCAGATTACAGCATTGTGGGTTGATTTTATTGTCTGCTGTTCTGGTTGGTCTCATTTCTCCTCTTCCCTTCCTCCCTTCTCCTCATCTTTTTCTCACTGTATTTGCCTTGTTAATATCATCCCTCATTTTGTTCCTCCTTCTCCTTCTTTCCTGTCCCTTTTTTCTCCCTTACAAACCTCAAGCTGCTTTATTCCTTGTCTGTCACTTTCTGTTGATTTCAGTGGTTGGGGTGAGTTCATTATGGCATACTCACTCTGCAAGACAAACTTTCCTTTTGTTAACCTTCTTTGTAAATCCCTTCCAGTTCTGGAGGGGGATTACTCGTTATTGAAAAGGTCTGGAATCAAAAATCTCCTGTCCTTGGGAGAGTTATAATGCTTTTCTTTCTAAGATTTCTTTTAGACCTTGGTAAAATGAGGATTTGAATGACACCATGATGAGCTTTTATCAGGATAACAGATGCTGTGTGTAAAAAAATCTGTCACATTGCATAGTATAAGACAACCTTTAATAAACGGGAGTTTCTGTGGCTGGAGAGATGGCTCAGCAGTTAAGAGCACTTAGTTCTTTTGCAAACGAACTGAATTCAGTACCCTGCACCCATATAGTATCTCAAAGTAACTCTAGTTTCAGGGGATCTCATGCCATTTTCTAACCTCTCTGGATTCTGCATGCATGTGGTACACATACATCCAAGTCATCAGCCACACACTTATACATATAAAATAAAATGAGCTAATACTTGAAATGTAAGTTTAGTTTCTAGAATGGCCATTATGGAAATGAGTATGAAGACTTCTCAAAATCTGAGATACTCATGATTCAGCTCTATCTCTGGGGTATACACCTGATGGACTACTGCAGCAGCACTTACATATCTGTGTTTGTTGCATTGTTCACAATAGCTAAATTACACAAAAATCTTATATGACTATATCAACAGATGACTGTATTAAATATATATATATATATATATATATATATATATATATATATATATATAATGTTTATGTATGTAATAGGGGTTATTTGGCTATAAAGAAGATTGAAAATGTGTCATTTATATGGAAATGAATGAAACAAAAGAGCATTACATTGAATGAAAACTATTAGAATCAGAAAGATCAGTATCACATTTACTTTTATATACACAATGCATATTTTATGTGAGTCATATATATGCATAGATTGAGAGCAAAAAATAAGAAGAGAAAATATTTGTGGTGAGGACAGGGACCAGAAGGAGAAAAGGAAAAGGATGTGGTAGGGTAAGTTAAAAAAAAAAAAAGAACAAATGTAATTGATATATGTATAGAATGTCACAAAAAAACAATTTGCACATCATCATCACCCACAAATTGTTTACTTTTAGTTTGGGTATTTTTTAAAAGACAGTGTCTTTCTATGTACCTATGACCTGGCCTGTAACTCACTATGTAGACCAGCCACAGAATAATCAAAGTACCAAACATACAGCACAAAAAAAGAACATTAAAAGATACAAGGGAAAAAGATCAAGTAACATATAAAGGTAGATCTATTATAGTGTGACAATTATACCAAAGACAATAAAATAGGCCCACAACAAGCAACAGGGATGAATTAAGAATTAAAAGTCTGCCTACAAAGAAAAAATCTAAGATCAGACATATTCACTGCTGAATTTTACCAAAGTTAAGAACTATTACTAATACGACTCAAACCTCAAGAGTCTTGCTAAGTGATGAGTCCTATGAACTACAATACCAATCAATCAGTCAGGCAACATGGACCCATTGATGTAGCAGTGGCATGACTGTTATGATGGTAACTAATCACTCTTTGGGTTGGGTTCGAGGCTTGTTCCACAGAAGGAACTGAAGTCTATTAATGTAAATACAATCAAAAGCCTATCCATGGCTCAGGAGACCTTTTGCCCTAGGAAGGAACAGACTACTGTTGCTGAGCTGCATTTTCATAGTGCCAAACTGCCCTCTAAATATTTATGCTTGTGTATACAGACAAATACTACGCTTATCTTTAATCACAGAAGTTCTCTGCATAGAACTGTTGTGAACACAGAGGCTCATGGCCTTTCAAGTGCTGAGAATTAGTGACGTTTGAGTGCTCAGCCCTAAAGAAGGCATTTGTATCATTTGTATAAATTCCTTTAAGACTCAGGGAACAGTTAAACCAGAAGTCATGGAGCATATAAGAGCTGGATGATGGAGAGAAAGATTATGAAATGCTGTTATGGACATGAAACAGCTGCTACATAATCTCAAAGCAGCTACAGTTGCCTGAACTAGGCCTGCAGAAAACTAGACCTAGCGTCAATCAGGGAAGACTCACTGAGCCATACTCAACCCTGATGAATTATTTGCTACTAGAAGACTCTAGAGTAAGGCAGTCATTGTCTTCAGTTAAATACTTTAGTTTGGGTACACAGTTGAGTGTGAAGTTCAAATAAGAATCAGTCCATAGGCTCATATATTTGAATGTTTGGTTTACCAATTGGTGGACAGTTTTTAGGAAGGATTAGTAGACGTGGCTTTGTTAGAATAAGTATGCCACTAGGAAAAGCTCTGAGGTTTTAAATGCTCAGTCTTGCTTTCTCTCTATCTCCAATTTGAAGACACAATATATGGTCTCAGTTACTGCTCTAGTGCCATGTTTGCCTACCTGTTCTACCTGTTGCCATGCTCCCTGCCATGATAGACATGAACTAAACCTCTGAAACAGTAAGAAAGTGCCAAATTAAATGCTTTCTTTGAAACATACCATGTACTATAACACAATATTTGCCCGGGGTTATTATTATGAAAATAGAGCTTTAGTTATCTTATAGTTTAGGTGGTTAAGTGTCCAAAACTTAGAGGTCAAACTCATTTCTCTCATGATGAAGATTTCAAAAAATGCATGGGATAATTTCAATCTTCTGGTATCAGTTGAGTGCTGTTTTGTGACCAATTATACAGTCACTTTTGGAGAAGGTACCATGAGGTGCTGAAAAGAAGGTGTATTCTTTTTTTCAGGGTGAAATGTTCTGTAGATATCTGTTAAATCCATTTGGTTAATAACCTCTATTAATTTCACTGTGTCTCTGTTTAGTTTCTGTTTCAATGACCTGTCCATTAGTGAGAGTGGGATGTTGAAGTCTCCCACTATTTTTGTGTGGGTTTCAATGGGTGTTTTGAGCTTTAGTAAAGCTTCTTTTATGAATGTGGGTGCCTTTGCATTTGAAGGATAGATGTTCAGAATTGAGACTTTCTTTTGGTGGATTTTCCACTTGATGAATATGAAGTGTTCTTCCTCATCACACTTGATAACTTTTGGTTGAGTATCTATTTTAATGGATATTAGGATGTCAACTCCAGCTTTTTTCCTGGGACCATTTGCTTGGAAGAACTTTTTACATCCTTTTACTCTGAGAAAATGTCTGTATTTGTTATTGAGGTGCATTTCTTATATGCAGCAAAATGCTGGATCCTATTTGTGTATCCAGTCAATTAGCTTATTTTTTTATGGTTGAGTTGAGTTTATTAATATTGAGAGATATTAAAGACAAAGGTCTGTTGGTTCCTGATATGTTTGTTTTTGTAGTAGGCTTTATGTGCTTGTGGTTCTTTCCTTTTGGTTTTTTGTGCTATGCTTAATATCTTGTCTTTTCTTTGTTGTAAATACCTTCATGGTGTTGAAGTTTTCCTTCTAGGATCCTCTATAGGACTGGATTGGTACATAGATACTATTTGAATTTGGTTACGCCCTGGAATATTTTTGTTTCTCCATCTATGTTGATTAAGAATTTTGCTGGGTTTAGTAGCCTGGATTGGCATTTTGCAATTTTGCAAACCAATAAGGAATATCAAGTTAAATGGTGACATACTTGAAGAAATGCCACTAAAATCGGGGACAAAACAAGGATGTCGACTCTCCCCATATCTCTTCAACATAGGACTCAAAGTGCTAGCTAGAACAGTAAGAAAACAAAAAGAGATCAAAGGGATACAAATTGGCAAGGAAGAAATAAAGGTATCACTATTGCAGATGATATGATAGTATACATAAGCAACAGCAATAATTATACCAGTGAACTTCTCCAGCTGATAAACAACTTCAGCAAACTGGATGAATAAAAATTCACTCAATCAGTAGCCTTCATATATACAAATGATAAAAAATCTGAGAAAGTAATTGGGAAACAACTCCCTTCATAATAGCCAAAAATAATATAAAATATCTTGTGATAACTCTAACCAAATAAGTGAAAAATCTATACAACAATAACTTCAAGTCTTTCAATAAAAAAATCAAAGAAAATCTCAGGAAATGGAGAGATCTCCCATTTTCATGGATTGGCAGAATTAACATAGTAAAAATGGCCATCCTATAGCGAAAACTATTCTCAACAATAAAAGAACCTCTGGAGGAATCACCATTCCTGACCTCAAGCTGTACTACAGAGCAATAGTGATAAAAACTACCTGGTATTGGTACAGAGACAGGCAGGAAGATCAATGGAATAGAATTGAAGACCCAGAAATGAACACACACTCCTATGGTCACTTGATCTTTGACAAAGGAGCTAAAACTGTCCAGTGGAAAAAGGACAGCATTTTCAACAAATGGTGCTGATTCAACTGGAGGACAACATGTAGAAGAATGAAAATTGATCCATTCTTATCTCCTTGTACAAAGCTCAAGTCTAAGTGGATAAAGGACCTCCACATA